CCACGTGCCAGCCCCCGGGAGCTGAGTCTTGAAGTGCCAGGAAGCCATAGACCATGAGGGTGTGGAGTGAGAGAGCAGCAGGACCATGGCCCGATATCTGAGCAGAGTGCGTGTGGGGAACCACAGTCAGCTTCTGTGGTTGGGGTCCAGGGGCCGGCAAAGCTGGAATGAGACCCTAACTGCCTCTGGGCCCCTGTGGGGTTTGGGTTTTAACCCGATGGTGCAGGGGAGAGTTGGAGCGTGATTACATCAGATTTTCATTTTAGGAAGAGCAGTTTGGCAGCAGTTTTGTTTATGATTTGGAGTACTGTCAAATGGGGAGCAGAAGATACCGCTTAAGAAAAAGAGGAGGTTCTAAACTAAGATAAAAAGAGAATGCAGAGATACAGAGAAGCGAACAGGTTCTACCAAGTTGTAGGAAGCAGAGTATCAGGATATGGTGACTGAGGGAGGAAGAGTCTGGATGACTCCCGAATTTCATCTGGGCAACTGCATGATGGGTGGTGCTCGATAGAAGGTAGAGAATAAATCTGTACTTAGCATTAGTCTCTTAGGGAAACAGGCAAGCCTCCTTTTTAGCTCTCATTCTAGCTGAACTCTGACTTTCTTATAAATATTTCATTGGGGTAGGCATGATGGTTAACACGTTAGATCCCACATGACCAACCACTGTTCGAGTCCCAGACACAGTGGCGTGGAAATCACACCCGGTGAGTGTGTATGCACGCCCAAATTTCTGAGAGGAGAATGGAGAAGGGATTGCGGCATGGCCATCCCCTCTAAGGGGTTATTTCTCACTTGCCCTTTCTTTGTCTGTCTCTCTCCTCTCCAGTGAACACATGTGCCCTATAGCAGAACCTAAAAACAAACAAACATAAAAACAAAAGCAAATATGCTGGATTAGCAGAAACTTTGTCTTCTGATATGCCCTTAGAACTTTTTTGGGGGGAGAGGTTTTTGCTATATGGTGTGTGTGCTCGCCAGACAGACAGAGGGAGACAGAGAGACAAAGCGAGAAATCACCCCCCGGGGAGATGGCCACGCAGCAATCCCTTCTCCTCCATTGTCCTCTCGGGACCTTGGGCATGCACACCATGTGCCTGGCGTGAGTTTTAAGCCACCGGGTCCGGGACTTGAACCGCGGTCGACTACGTGGGAGTCCAGCGACATAGTCATTATGATGACTGCTGGTCCCTGCCCTTAGAACTTTTGAGACTCTTTAATACACTAATGGTCCCAAGGGCAGAATGTGATGCATCGTGCGACCACTGTTCTGTGTCGAAAGTGCACTTTAACAATGTTCTTCAAGTACAGTTAGAAAGGTTTTGTCTGAAAATGTTCCTGTGGGCCCTTTCTGTTGTGGACTTACTCCTCCCACCCCCACTTTCACTGGGAGGAGGAGGCACGTTTCTCCCTTCATTTCCTTTGGGCCACTGCCACTCGGTGATTATAGTCATTTAAAGTCCTTGTCATCTGTACCAGGCCACTTCCCCTGCTCTGTTTGTCCCGTCTGTCTCAGGCCTCATGATGCTCTTGGGTCTTTTTTTTTTTTTTGACTACCAGGGGGTGTATGCAGAGAGAGTGGGAGAGGGCGTTGACACCACGATTCCTTTTACGTTCTCCATCCTGTCAGGATTGGGGGCACACATACACATATGCCTGGTGTGTTTTTCAGGCTGCTAGGGCCAGGGTTCAAACTTAGAGCTTTTACCCCCTCCAGCCTCTGTCATCCTCAGAGACTTAACCTCCGTATACGATGGGGTCTCAGAAAGTTCGTGGGAGGTGCATGCTATGAAAAACTGCATCGATTTCAGATTTACTTCGCACCAGATAAACTCCTACTTTAATTCTCGTTTTCCATGAACTTTTGGAAGTTCCCTTGTACCCTTATATGTTCGCTCCCTTTCTTCCTCAACCTTCTTTGACTTTGTGAGTTTTTGTTTTTTGTTTTTGTTTTGTTGGCTAAAGAGCTCATGGACTTGCTGGGACCAGCAGTTAGCGTAATGGCTATGTCGCTGGACTCCCATGTAGTCGACCACGGTTCGAGTCCCGGACCCGGCAGCTTAAACTCACGCCGAGCGTGTGTGCGTGCGTGCCCAAGATCTCGAGAGGAGAATGGAGGAGAAGGGATTGTGGCATGGCCATCTCCCCTGGGGGGGGTGATTTCTCGCTTTCTGTCTGTCTCTCTGTTTGTCTGGTGAGTGCACGCGCCCTATAGTGAAAAACCTCTCGGGGGGCGGTGGGGGGGGGAGCGCGCATGGACTTGCCAGAGAGAGAGAAGGAGAGGAGAAAGCAGTTCCTATGGACCCAGTCATGCTGCAGTCCCTTCTCCTCCTCTTCTTTTCGGGACTTTAGACGCACAGGCATAAGTGCTTGGCATGTTTCCAAGCATGTGGGACCTGGCTTCCTTAACCAGCAGGCTGTTTCTGGCCAGTGCTTTATTTTAGCCCCTCCCCAAGGCCAGAGACCACCCTTCCCCAGCGCTGCTTTGCTGCCGGGGCTTGCCCATGACCTCGGCGCCGTCCACGTCCCTCGTACCTTGGGGATTGGTGCTTGCTCGGTCCTCAGCAGGGCGTACCGTGACTTGCTTCCTGTCCTTTTTCCTCCGTGAGTCTTACTGTTTACACGGAGTCACCTTTTTTTTTCCCCCAATATGACTTTCATGTTTATGATTTTCTCCTATTTTTTTTTTTTTTTTGGTCCAGTTCACTTTAGTAAAAAAATAGCTTTATTAGAGTATAATTTACATTCCATAAAATGGACACATTTTAAGTGTGCAATTCAGTGATTTTTAGTGAATTTCCAGTTGTGCAGATATCACACAGCCCAGTTTGAGGACATGCCCATCACCCCAAGTTTGCTGTCAGCCTTGGCCCTGTCGATTCTCAGCTACGGCAGCCACTGATTTGCGTCATGTCTCTATGGATTGCCTTTTCTGAACGTCGAATATAAATGGGATCATAAAATACACAGTCTTGCCTCGTTTTTTTTTTTTCCATTTGTTTTGGAGATTCATTCAGGTTGTAGCATGTGTTGGTATTTTATTCCTTTTTTGTTGAATAGTATTTCATCTTGAGGATATGCTGCATTTGTTTTTGTTATATCTAAGAAATTTTCACCTAATCCAAGTTACTAAAGTTTTTCTCCTATGATTTCTTCAAAAAATGGGGTAGTTTTAGTTCTGCAAATTTATATATTTTTTATATTTTTTTTGGAGAGGTTTTTTGCTATGGTGCGCGTGCGCTCACCAGACAGAGAAAGACAGAGAGACAGAAAGCGAGAAATCACCCTCCAGGGGGGTTGGCCATGCTGCAGTCCCTTCTCTTCCATTCTCCTCTTGGCATCTCGGGCACGCACGCACACATGCCCGGCATGAGTTTAAGCCACTGGGTCCGAGACTCGAACCATGGTTGACTACGTGGGAGTCCAGTGACATAGCCATCACGCTAACTGCTGGTCCTGCAAATTTATCTTTTTTTTTTTTGGTGCTAATTTATTTCTTCCCAAAGAGAGGGACAGGGAGAGAGAGCACAGCCTCCCAACCAGGTCTTCATGCCGTGATCCAGCCCCAGGCTCAGCCAGCCTGGGTCATGGGCACGCGCATGCCAGGCATGCACAGGAAGGCCTCTGGACTCGAACCTGGGACCTGCCCATGCAGGTTCACTTGAGTTACTGCTGTGCCACCCTATGGCCCCTGCCAATTAACTTTTAAGCTCTTCTATCTTCCCTTTTTTTTTTTTTTTAAGCTTATTTCTTTCTAGAGACAGAGCATGAATGCACCCCCCATGGGTCTTAACACTGCAGTCCACTCCCAACTTGAGCCAGTCCCGCTCATGGGCATGTGTGTGCTGAGCCCTGATCCCTCCTGTGTGGGTCAGCCTCACAGAGCATTGAGTTTGCTGTTGCACCACCGTACGGCCCTGCTAGCTTTAATCCTTGTGTTGCATGGTTTGGTTTGTATGTTACATGCTTTGATTTAATACCATCAACATCACTAGTTTTTGCTTTGAATTTTGTAAGGGAACTGCAGGCTGCAGAGACTAAGTCCGGTCCCAGATGGGCCCCAGTGGATATATAACTGTCTTATTTTAGAAAAGTAACTGTGATTCCTGTGCCACACAACTCAGGGCTATGTGTCATAAAGATGGTTTCTGTCGGGTTAATGTATGAATTACCAGTGATATTTTAACATTCTTTCTTAAATCATGGTTCATGTTATCCAGGCCAAGCATGATGGACAGACAGCCAAAGCAACCAAATTTTTAGCCTTGGACAAATGCTTGCCACATAGAGACTTTCTTCAGGTAAAAATAAATAACTTTGCAATATAGTTTTACTCTTCCAGTGATTAAAAAAATTACTAATTTTCCTTCCAGAATTTATTTGTGGTCTTTGTATATTATATACTCTAAGAATTCTTTGGGGATGTTTATTTTTAAGTTTCTTTCATTGATTTCTTCCATGAGAGAGAGAGATACTCTTAACAGGGTCTTGCCATGCCGTGATCCTCCTGAAGGGTCCAGCCTCCCGGGACCACAGGCATATAAGGGTTTGGCCTGCTGTGTTCAGGGTGACCTGGGGTCTGAACCTGGGCTTCCCAAATAGCTCCAGTGTCACACAGTACCCTCCAGTGCTTTCACTACAGCTGGGCCAAAATACTTAGGCTTGTAAAAATGCACGTATATATGTACTTGTTAAAATGACCAATTTCTTCCTGTAGGTATTAGAAATAGAACATGACCCCGGTGCTCCCGATCACTTGGAGTATGACACCGAGTGGCTTGCCATTCTCAGGGCTACTGACGATCTTATTAACGTGACTGGGCGCCTGTGGAACATGCCTGAGAACAACGGGCTGCACACGAAGTAAGTGACCTTCTAGGACCAGCCTTCTCCACTGTGTGCAGGATTTTCATCCCCCCCCCCATTGTTGTTTTTAATCAAGGGAATTGTTGAATGTGTGTCAGAACAATTCAGGGTTCACCGGCTAAGATGGTCTAGAAAACTGCAACTTTTCCATCTAAGGAGAAGATAGACCGTTGAGCTTCAATCCGAATAAACTGATAAGTGGATGATTCCGCATAAAACAAGATGGTAGAGATTTGGTTCACACAGAAAAAATGTATACTTGTTTTAGGTTTTGAGTTAAACCCAGTTTTTGCCAAGAATTGTTTTTATTTGTAAATGGCCCTTTGATAAATTAACTATAATCTTACTAAATAACACTTTGATAGTTTGTTTTTTATCCTTACATCAAAATTCCATAGTTAGATTTCATCATGTATTGTTTGAAGCTGCAAAAAGTTTAAAACCTATTGTTTTGGACCCCCGTAGGTGGGATTATAGTGCAACGGAAGAGGCTATGAAGGAAGTATTGGAGAAGTTAAATCACGACCTCAGAGTTCCATGCAACTTCAGTGTCACCGCTACGTGTTATGACCCTAGCAAGCCGCAGACACACATGCAGCCGGTCCATAGGATCAATCCTCAAACGACGACGTTCTGTGCCCAACTTGGCATCACAGATATCAACGTCAGGCTTCAGAACGCCAGGGAAGAGCATCACGTGTGTGGTGAATCCGAAGAACAGGATGATGTGGACAGTAGTGACTCTGGAGAAGACCGGAGCGAGTATAACACAGACACGTCTGCCCTGTCCTCTATTAACCCAGACGAAATAATGTTAGATGAAGAGGAGGACGACGACGATATTATCGCGAGCACACACAGTGACGTGAATACACCGTCTTTAGGACCTTCCTCTGATCAAGCCTCGGACTTTTCTGCCAGCTTCTCTGACGTCAGGATCTTGCCGGGGTCCATGGTTGTATCCTCCGACGATACAGTAGGTTCTCCGATGAGAAGCGAAGGAAGACCTGGGGAGACTGTGGAGTCAGGGGATGAAAGGGACTTAACTGCCGTGCCAGCGAAGAGGCTCAGTGATGGACAAGAACCTGAACAAAGAAAGAAAATAAAGAGACGGAACCAGGCCATTTATGCTGCAGTCGATGACGATGAGGGCGGGGATGCAGCTTAGGACAGTTTACTTCTCTGAGTATTATGTGTAGACATGGGATTTTTGAGATCATATTTTTAGAGTTGGATTTTTGACTAAAGACCTACCTTGTGATACTGAAGTTACATAAGAGAATTTTACTTGGGAATTGACTTTATCTATAGGCCTTTGTGTATTTCAGATACAGACATTAAAATTTTGTATATTTACTTTATTGGGTACCTTTTTTGGGAATATATACTCTTTTTTTTTTTTTTTTTAGCAAATGCTTATTAATTTTTAAAATTTACTTATTTATTTCTTCCATGAGAGAGAGAGGGACAGGTTACCCCCAAAGGGTCTTCACACAGCAATCCACCCCCAGTGTCAGCTGGCCTATGTCGTAGGCACACGTACTTGTCCGGGGTGCTCAGGGAGGTGCAGGACACAAACTGAGGACCTTTCCCAGGTGGGCCCAGCGCATTACCACTGTGCCACCTCCAGGCCTTTCAGCAAACACTTCCTGAACATCTAGTGATACTTAGTCCAAGCTCTCTTCTGTAAGACAGGACGATAAAGATGAGTAAGACAGGGACTTTGCCTTCAAGGAGTTACTGTCACTAAACGTTTTGATGGATAAACTATGGCACATGATATTTTGTTCTACAGAGTGAGACAATGATTGTGTATATAATCATGTATTTTTTTCATTTATTATAAATATTTTCCCTGAGCAGCTCTTAGTGTCTGTCAAATAAAATTTATAATTGAAGATGGTAGACAAGATTTCAGGAAATAAATAAATGTTAGTATTAAACATTGATAAACATAAAATCTTACACTTCCTTGTGGAGATAAATTAACTTATTGACCTTTTTTAAAAAAGAATTATTTATTTATTTGTTTCCATTTGTTGTTAATATTTTCTAGTTTGACCAGAGAGAGACAGAGAGAGAATGGGGAAGGGAAAGAATAAGCTGCCAGTTCTGGGACTCGAACTGCCATTGGCCATGTGGGGATCCAGCACCTTTAACCACCGCACCACCTGCTGGCCCCAACTTTTATCGACTCTTACATATTATATCTTACTATTAACCTTATTTTTAATTCAACTATTGTAACTGCAGATCATTTTTGGCATAGCTCACCTATGCATAAGTTATTAGATTGGTGCAAAAGCAATCGTGGTTTGGGACTGTGAATTTTAAGTCATCATACCTAGACACAAACATATCTTTATTAATCAAAATAGGAACCATTGCAATCAACACATTTTTGCTTATGAGAAGTTTATTTTAGTAGCATAAATGTCCACGCTTGGGGATGTGACAAATTCTTGGGAAACATTTTCTGCTTCCTGCTGGCTGTGGAAGCATTTTTCCCTGCAAAAAGTTGTTGAGATGCTTGAAGAAGTGGTAGTCGGTTGGCGAGAGGCCAAGTGAATGTGGTGTATGAGGCAAAACTTTGTAGCCCACTTTGTTCAACTTTTGAAGCATTGATTTTTGCTGACCTGTGCCAGCTGCAAGCTCTGCAGTCTTTGGTGCATCTCAATTTGCCGAGCATACTTCTCAGATGTATTTCACCAGGATTCAGAAAGCTGTAGTGGACCAGACCACCGTTTTGGGAAGCACTGCGGAGCTTTTCAGTTCAACCACTGAGCTGGTCGTCACTGGTTGGTGTATAAAATACAGTTTTCGGGAATCAGCAGTTGGCGGAATGGCTGTTGCTGGATTCCCATGTAGTCGACTGCTGTTTGAGTCCTGGACCCGGTGGCTTAAACTCACGCGTGTGTTCGCTGCCCAAGATCCTAGAGGAGAATGGAGGAGAAGGGATTGCGGCATGGCCATCCCGCCAGGGGGTGATTTCCCGCTTTCTGTCTGTGTGTCTCGCTTTCTGGCGAGCGCATGTGCCCTACAGCAAAAACCTCTCAAAAAAAAAAAAAAAAAAAAATCCAGTTTTGATCGCATGTCACAACCTGATCAAGAAATCATTTGTTGTTGCATAGAATGAGATGACACTTCGAAACTATGGTTCCCCCCCCCACACACACACACACACACTCAGGTCCTGAGGCTCTACTTACCAAGCTTTTTCTGCCTTTCCAGTTTGCTTCAAATGCTAAATGACCATAGAGTAGTTGATGTTGAGTTCTTAGTCTCCTCTCGAGTAGACTAGACGTTTGCTCTTGGTTGTTGTAAGTTTCCAGTGCCTACCCACTCCACTCCTCATCTTCGAGGCTTTCGTCTTGTAGAACGTCTTAAACGCCACGCACTGTATGTGCGTTAGTAGTTCATGGCCCAGATCTGATGTCAGTGTTGTGCGTTGTCTCCACTGCTTTACAACTTACATTTTTGTTTTGTTTTGTTTTGTTTTGTTTTTTGCTGCTCAATCTGGCATATTTTTATTATCATCATAATCTTCTTTAT